AACACCTATTTTTTGTAAAACATCAAGCATTGCAATAAAAAGAGTAATTATTTAACAGACATTTATGGGAACATTTCATAGGAATATTGAGGGTTTATTTTTTTTACTCTTAGTGCCATTCCCAACAAGTGAAAACAAATCATTAAATCATTAAGCCATTCATTAAATTTTGATAACGTTTACATGATGTACATTACAGTTTAAATGGTTTTTTTTCTTGAAAGACATCAGTACAGTACTTACAATCATAGATATTACAATGCTGTTCTTTTGAACTTTCTATTCATCAATGAAACCATCAGGCATGCATCACTGTTTCCAAAAAATATAAAGCAGCATAATTGTTTACAACACTGATTGCAAATTAGAATGATTTCAGAAGGATCATGTGACACTGAAGACTGGAGCAAATCAGGGTGTTTATTTTATTTTATTTTATTTTATATAATAAAATAAAATATTTTTCTTTTATATTATATAAAATATTTATATATATTTTTTTAACACTGATTGCAAATTAGAATGATTTCAGAAGGATCATGTGACACTGAAGACTGGAGCAATGGCTGAAAATATAATATTCATAGAATGACTACTGTATTTTTTTCCTGAAGTCATGAAGTGTTCAGAAACTCCACCCTTTCATGTATCAGCACAAAGTGGCAGGACTATGCTGATACTATGGGAGTGTGTATTCTAAAATAACCTAGTCAGTCTAGTCACAGTCTAGTTCTCTGCCAGAGACGAGACTTCCCTCCACAATCAAAACACATGCACGTGAGTATGCCTTTTAAATCATATCAACCACAACACAACAAATAATAAATGGTTAAAGCCTTAGAAAGCCTGAGACAGTATGACATTACTTTTCTATTTAACTACTAACAACAAAGAAACCAGAGAGACATTTTATTATTATCATCTGCTTTTGAGATTTGTTTTATTCTAAAGTGTGTCAAATTAGCCATTTTAATTTAATCGCTTCTTGTGCTCCTATATAAAGGTGTGTGAGTTGTTTTGTTCAATTTAATTTCGGTAGGGGATTTGTGCCTACAAATGTTCCGTTATCAAGAGTGATCTTGATTCGGAAGATTCCACTTACAAAGAGAGAATGTGATCAACAGACTTCACACAAAACAAAAACAAGACTACGCTCAAGCTTAATGTAAAATGTTAAGATCATAAAACTGAAGGGCAATGTCAAACTCTTCATATACGCACTTCCAATATCCAATCGAATATAATTTGTCTCTCTTGATTCACTTGCTCACCCAAACTGAATCTATTGTTCTCTGGGTTAAACATTTGTGTGAAGCCTCTGGAAAATGTATTTGTCAAGTATCAATTAGTATCAATCTGATGTTGCACCTGAAAGCAGCATTTACTGTATCTAGTTAAAAATGACTGATGTTAATAAATACAGTAAATGACCATTGTTTTTTTCCACTGTAGTTCAAGCCTTCAAGAAGAGAGAGCAATGACAGCAGTGCATTCTTGGATTTGTCTAATATTATTGTGGATTGCTGCTGATACAAATGGGAAAACTCCAGGTTGTAGCCATAACATAAAACCTTCACTTCTGTAGGCCAACGGTGTAGTTCAAGTTCTCTAGAAGATTTTTCATATGCTTCCATGCTCTAAACTGAACAATTAATTGTCTCAGACATACCATGAGGTCATTACATGGTTTGAAATATGAAATTATTAAACTAAAAGAAACATTGCTGAGACCTATAGCAGAGTTTTTCCATCTGTGTGACTTATATTAATAGACATATTTGCTAAACATTTAAATGATTGTTGTTCTTAAGATAAGAGTAAGTGTAGAAATTCTCGCACTCTTTTTAGTAAAATCAGACCAAGGACTCAAAACAAAAGTGTGACAGACAAAACATTGGTCTGATTAATTGCCTGATGTTTATCATCACCAGGGAAACCAGCATTTCAGCTCTGTTTTTGACCTACGACCTAAATAGTTTCAGGTCAAATTGGAGATCTCAAGATGGACTCCAAAAACAAGAACAGATCGTGCCCTCCCATGAATGATACTTAACTATTCGATCCATTTAAACAGTTTTAGATACAAATGAACCCTTCAATATGATTGAAGATTAGACGAGACAAAGTAGAGAGAAATCACTTTCTTTTAGTGTTTAAAATCTCACATTTTCCTCTTTACCACACCTCTAGATGTTCAGTTAACCTGCACGCTCTCAGAAGACTGTGTCCTACCCTGTGTCTTTGAAGCAGCTGGAGATGAGATCATATACTGGTTCAGACAAAATGTCCCGATCCAGAGTTATATACAGGGGAGTGGCCGATTAGATCAGGCGGATCAGCACTACAACAGCAGGACATCATTATTCACCGAAATGATTTCCTCTGGTAATGCATCTCTTCATATCCAGAAGTGCGGCCCACAGGACAGGGGGAAGTACAGGTGCCTTGTCACCAGCATTCGAGAAACTACCGAGCACTTCATCATAGTCAAGGTGGAAGGTGGGCTGTCACAGTTTATATTCAAGAGTTTAGCAATCATAAATGAAATGATTATACTTCATATATAGGGTCAGTAGTGACCATGTGACATATCTTATATCACGTAGTGACCTGCAACTATTTGCTAAAGGCCCTTTTCATTGATATACGGCAAAACAGGGCCTGAAACTCTTGAAGAATTATGCTTTTTTTTAACTTTTTCCAACACAAATGGACTGTGAACCAAGATCTCAAAATAAATAGGCTATACGAGGCTTGAAAATACAGTTTATTTTTTGGCAGCGGCTATTTGCACTAAGTCTAAATAGTGATAGATGCTTTTTACACTAAGTGCAAATAGCGATAGATGCTATTTACACTGTGTAAATAGCAATTAGATTCTATTTATGCTAAGTGCAAATAGCATATTTTCTTAGCGATAGATGCTATTTACACTAAGTGCAAATATCTATGGATTCCATTTACACTAAGTGAAAATAGCGGTATTTTTTAACGATATGCTATTTACACTAAGTGCAAATAGCTATAGATTCTATTTACACTGTTAAAAGAGCAAGATTTTCTGCTATTTATACTACTTATTGCAAATAGTAGCAATTATCTGTACCTCAATATTATAGTACATTATAAAACAGTACGCAATAATAATGTATTGAGTGTAAATTATCATTTTAATTCAAATTATTAAATGGATGCCACCTTATTGGGACAATAAAGCCCTCCCTACACCTACCCTAACCCTACCCGATACTTTATTTTCAACTTTTTGATTATTTCCTTCATTTTTATTGAAAATAAATGCCTTTCCGATGCGATATGAGATTTGAAAAGGGAGAAAACAAGTTTGGCAATCGGGTCGATCACGTGCGCCTTCCCATCTATGCCTCTGAAACTGATGTTTGACGAGCGTCTTT